ATTCCTAGTCAATCTAAGTTAACAGTATTAATTAATTCTAACCCGCCGGCGCTGTACAAAAACCCAAAAAGAAGAAATCCCTTAAATTTAGAAGCATACGAATAATTAATTAAAGATAAATTTGTGATATAGAACCTTCCCTTACTTCCGTGAGGCATCTGGAGATGCTCGGAATTCCAGGTAGCTCAGAGAAGGGTCATAAACTGGAGTTAGGCATCTAATAAAGTTTATAACCATACCAATTATAAGGGTCCTAGTACGATCATAGTGGGGACAGTACTGGGGGGCCTCACATTTGCAGTATTGGTCCAATGAAACGTCTGTCAAATGGTAACGTCAGAAAAACACCCGTCCGGTTTAACAAAAAAAAATTAAAAAATCCACACCTGGACAAAAATATTCATGAATATGATGTTGTGACGATTGGTTCGGATTCTTACTCATGTTCCGTTGAAACCTGACTTGAATTGGGAAGAAGAAAATGTATGATTTTTTTTTTCATTATATATTTTTACCCATTCTTGGCTAGAATCTTGAAAGAGATCAATAATTGATACAATGAGGATTAATTCCAATTTGAAACTTTGACTGTTCAACTATCATATCGCGATATGATACACTCAATGGCCTGAAAAATTTAACAAGATGAAACGTAAGCGAACGTATAACTGTCGTCTTTTCTCAAAGCCTAGCTTTTCTTAACATTTACTTTTTTGTTGAGTTCCAATTGGTTAATTAAGCGATTGGTGAATTTTATTGAGGTAGAACTACTAATATTTTCGACAGAAAGTAACCTTCGGCCGGTTGTTTAAATTTTATTAGGCTTACATTTTCAACCCCCGTACGAAAATATCACGTTGCAAATGTATGAACTGACGTTCCCATGATGAACCTTGATATAATGGAGGTAAATAGTGTTTTTCACACCCAGGACCGATAAAATTAATCTGTTGAATGCGGCCCAAAAGCCGAGCCGAAAGCGAGAATTATAAAGCGCATGAGTCAGAATCACCTTTTTGGCGATGCTTATGATGCGATTTTATGTCATTGTGGCCGAAAACGCGTTTGTAGCGTTGAACGAAGCGAGTTTGAACGAAAAATATGAATATATTTCTTGCTGTATTTTGCATTGTTAAAAAATATCAATTAATCATTTTTTTCTATATCAACTTCCGCATAGCATTCCGTTGAATAAATCACTCGGAATTGAATATTCGAGCAACAAATTAATTGAAAAACATTTGTGAAAAGATTTTTCAATTTTTATTAATATTGTTTGAAAATTTCCTAAGCAGCATTTTAAAAATTTAAAAGATTTTTGGCCTCGAAGAAGCATAAGGGTACAAGAAATTTGAATTCTATCATTTCATGTCTTGTTGACTTTTTTTCATTATATTGATCCCACTGGTAAATATTTGAAAATTCATCCATTTCCAGTTAGCCATGGTAATGAATAATTACTGCAAAAAAACATAAAAATAATTTGCTGCAGAGAGTGATCGAGGAAAGGTAATCGAAAAATGTTCACGGATTAGAAAATGTGTGATCTGGCCAAGAGTGGGCAAAACTTATAAAATAAACCTTACATTCATAATTCATTTGTATAATTTTAAAGAACTGACATCTCATATTTTTTCAATTTTTAATTAAATAATTATTTATTGTTAAAATAACCAAGAAATAATCAATTTCTGGCACCATGATGTTTGAACAATTACCGCCTGGGATTCACGCAATTGGTGTATAGTATTTCCAATAATAGGTCTAATAGGGTTTTATGCCCCGGCTCCCGAAGGCCCGACTTTGCCCATGCCTGGTTCTAAGGATAGTGAAATGTTTTAGCCTAAAGAGTTTTTCATCTAAGTGAGCTTTTTTTCAACTTCAGCAGTTTTACTCAATAAAATGAGTTACAGGATATTTGTATGTATATTTACGTGGTAAATAATGAAATTGTAGTGAGATATCTAACTCATTTTGCTTTTTGATCAGTATTTGCATAATTTTCACGTGAAGTTAATGTTGTTGTTAGGGCATTGTTCTTCAGAATAACTATTCTTCGGTTTCATTAAAAAATTTGATTTCATGTTTAGCTAAATACCAAGCGAAACTATGACACCTGTCGTAGCTTTGAAAAACAAACCAAAAAGAAATGTTTTTAGTTGTGTTTTTCTAGAAGATAAGGGATTAGTGAATATCTTTCTCTTCGAAAGTACTAAATGAGAGAGTATTAATGACGAGCATAAATTTATCACACTTGGCCTGATACTAACATGTTCCGAATATAAAAAATTATTTCTCCTTCATTTGGAACGGTATAAGTAATTTAGTTGATTGGATTTATGATAAGAATCTAAATGTATGGGAATTATTGAATTCATTAGGTGGAATAAGACTATAGTCAAGTTCTGACGCATTAAAAAATGCCAAAAAAGGATAATTCTATTGTCAATCCCTTTTTTTGAATAATTTGCTCATATAAATCAATATGTTTTCATTTAATCCCGTAATTCAATACTTGCACCTGCCTCCTAGTGATAGTCTACGAAATTATAGAAAAAAATATAATGGGCTGATACCATATCTTATCGATGCCTCGAACAAATCTAAAATTAAGGTTTGATTCAAACCTTGCGATGTCGTTTTCCAGGTGAATCTAGGTTTCTCTGCAGCCGCTAAAACAGCCCTTGATTTACGAGCCTGAAACGAGGTTATCATTTTAAGACTGAACGAGTGCTCAGCCAAGGGTGGAGCCTAGCCCTCGTTGAGCATTTTCAAGCCTTGTTTCAGGGTTGAATGAGCCCTGTTCCGATCGTCGATTCTTACCTGGGTACAACAGAACAACCAGGAATATCTAGATGTAGATCATCATCACCTTAGCCTCCATCGGATGACACAAGGTCATGATCTATCTATCACATGATCTATTGGATCAGCCTATTGGACCCATTTCAAATTTTTGTTTAATTGTTTGGTCCTCTTATGGTTACATTTTTTGAAACTTAACTTCCAAAGATTAGCAAAAGAGAGAGACATACAGAAATTTTCGCCAAACTTCGGATTTTCAAATATCAGACCATTCTACATCAATTCTAACGGAAATTTGAAAATGTCAATGTGCACCAATTGTAGAGCTTGCATTCGAAAGCAAAAAAACCTTATTTTGAGAAACATGACAATGACATTACGTAAACGTTCATGCTACTAATATCTTCAATTCTACTTGGAAATTAAACAGATTGTTACTGGAACTCATATTCATTTAATATGAAAATAAGCAGAGGTTGTGAGCATATCAAAGCGAGGAGGTGACAGTGAGCATGTCCTTGACTGATTCTTTCAATCTTTCGTCGCCATCAATGGATTGATGGTATACTTCCCAACGGCTCAAGAAACGAAAAGAAGAGCTCAAAACTTTGTATGTCCTCTCATTTCATATTTTAATTGATTGAGATGTATTATATCAAGCAGAATATTTGAAGATGTAAAAAATTGAAATCGTTTCGATAGTTTTCAAGATATTTTAGAAAGTCAATTTTAATCAAAGTTGAATATTTTATGAATTAGAGTTACGATTTAGCCATTGTCTAATCCTAAATAGTTCATTGTCAGATGGAAACTTCAGCAGTTTTTCGTAAAGACAATTTTTCGTAACTCTGGTGTGTTAACAATTTTTTTTTGAAAAAAAACAATTGGAGTTTAAAAAAAAGAAAAATTGGCTCTTAGGAACTAATAATTCGAATCAGCTATTCTTTAATACCAAACATTTTATTGCCGGTTGGAAATGCCAATTTGATGAATTAATTTTTCGCAAGATCATCGTGCCAACAATTTTTTTGCAGCAGCAGCAAAATTGCAAAACTTAGTATGGATGGTTATAGATATTTAGATCAATTGAGATGGAGTCCACGGAGATGAATATGTTGAGAGGTGAGACATTGAAAAAGATTGGATAGTTTTCGAGATATTCAAGTAAATCGATTTTGATACAAACTGGAATATTTCATGAACTAATTTGCTCGTTCCAATGATCCAATTCACGAGATATCTCGTGTTCATCCAAATCCACATCAGATTTGACAGGGAAGGTGCTAGACTCCCTATTAAAGTCATAAAAAAAAATTGAAGAGTCTGCACTAAAGTAATAAAAAAACTACGATGATCTCACAAACTAAAACTAACAAAATGGGCCGTTCTCATACGGACGTCCGCATACAGTGCCATTAAATGTGTTGAGAGTAGCTTTTTCATTCTTTTTACTTCCAGTGACAATCCGAATATATGCATCGACAAAACAAACAAAAACCGTTTACTTTGATTTTCCATACTACAAAACAATAATAATTTGTTTTGTAATTCATCTAGAACAGAGTGGAATTACCTCGCGATACTCCAATGGCTGTAGGAAAATTACTATGGAAATACAATGAACCCATAATGTTTTTGGCGTAGTTATTTTTTTACAAACAATATGTGCCTATAATATTGCTATCGTAATTTTTTCTACCATCATTGTTGTACCAATCGTCTTCCTATCCTGGTCATGTCTTGAAAGCTACCGTGAGCAAATTTTCCTGAGAAAACGCGTTCCCTGGTTCAACCTCATTCCTTCCTTTATACTCCCAAAAAACAGCTTCCAGTGAAATATCATTTTTACTAATAAAAAATGTTGATACTAGCATCTTCATGAAGGCCCACATACAAGATGTGATTATTAATAAATCACAAACTTAAATAAGTAAAGTTATTGAAAAATTCATAATTCCATCATTACAAAAAAAAGTTTTTAATGAAGTACTTCTTCCTCCAGTATTTTACTGCCTGTATGATAGAAGGGTTGATTAAATATAATTTTGCTATTTATGTCATTCATTGCTTATTACTGAGTTAACGAGTTGACAGAGCCAAAAGCGAAGAAGAACTTTCGACTTAGACTTTCATCTTCTTTTATCTTCTAAGGCATTATCATAAACACCTCTACAACTAAACTGACATTCACTCACAGCAATGACTGGCATCGACAGCTCTGACCACCTCACTAGCCAAGTTCTCCAAACTTGTGATGGAATTCCCCTTTATATTCAAAATCCTTAAATTTGGAAGTTTGGTGATAACTCCAATTCCGGCCGTAATATCGTGAATATCATTATTACTTAAATCCAGTCTTTCCAGTTTGCAGAGTTCTTTAAAATTATCAGGCAATCCTGTTAATAGATTCCTTCCTAGATTCAGGTACTTCAACTCTACAAACCTTCCAATATCACTGGGTATGATTTTCAAGTAGTTTCCTGTTAAATCCAGGTACTGAATCTGCAGTAAAAATAATTCAAAGTTTTAGTATCACGGAATAATATATGTGCTCCCTAAATGAGCATGAATCATTATGAATCATTTAATATCTTGTGGCATATAATGGAAATTAAATTCCTTATCACTTACCGATTTTGTTATATTTTCCGGAAATTCGTGCAGTTGGGAATCGGGGCAAAAAAATGACGTTCGATTTCTCTCGAAACACTTTGAATAATTCACCTGATCCATACTTACTGCATCGTTGAAACTCCACACTAAACCGAATATTAAGAACAATATTTCCTTCATTCTCTACTATTTCACTTGATTTTAATGACGAATCTCAGAATTTGTTTTATAATATTTCCGATTCCTTGGATGGGTTCTCAACGCATAGTTTGAAAATAGTTTTCGAATTATTGTTTGTCATTGTTCATTGTAAAAGACATTGGGCTGCACTCGGGCGTAACCCTGTTTCACGTCAAAGTGAAAACTACCAGCTCCTTATCTGCCCTACTCCGTTCATCATTCTGTTATCTAAAAATCGAAACGAAGATAACTCACCCACTTCTTCATTGTATTACGGACGAAGTAGTTGAACATTATATTTCTGTATGGTAGAAATAACAATTCGACGGAATGTAAAAGCGAAAAGAAACACCAAAGTTACTTAAAAGTGATGAACTTATATGTTCTGTACAACAAAATTATTGAATGAGTGACGATTATAATCGATTGCAACATGTGTTAGTTCTACAATAATTAGAACAATGCATCAATTATTTCAGAAACTCATTGAAATTCTCAAAAATGCCTCACTATTTTCAAAACTATTTATACACTGTAATTTATAAGTTTTTTCGAATGCTTTGAAGATAAAAGTTATGTGTCAAGTGAATAAAGGCTAAGATGAATTATTTGTTAAATATTTACGATCGCAATACGAAAATCCTTTCGAAAAGCTGAAGAAAATCGAATTCAATGTTTCATTTCATGAAGTGGATTAACAAAAAAAAATTCCTATTCTTTATTCGTCAGCTGGAAGGGAATGTTACTGGGATATAAAAAATCAAACAAAATAAATCCATAAAAGGGTCGGGAAGAACAATTTTTTTAATACAAAAAATGAAATCATCGTTATTTCAACTGACATTAAACACTTCTTTGCATGTCAAAGAAAGAGAATCTGGCTAGTCATTGGCTGAAATAATTAATGTAGAATAAATGCATATTAACACACATATTTCATTGAGAGGTAGTTCCAGCTACGTCCAAGTATCTGAGCAAATTTAGAAAAAGCACGCAGTAGTGAACGTTCAGAGTAATGAAGACTCATTCTATTCCCTATGGTCCATTATAGCAGCCCGCTGTGAAGTTCAACATAACACGTGCAACTTTGATGAGGGAGAATAGGCGGGGAACTGGAGGTAGAGCAAACGTATATTACAACAATTTTTTTCAAACTACAATCCTTACCCCTCCTCTTATCACTCGCCGAACTGACAACTCATCGCCGCCCAAATTGTAATGTTTTAATTCTGCGATATCTATTGGTTGTACAGTATGATAATTGTGGCATAAAAATCTAGAAAATTTTCAAAAAATAATTGAAATGATTTCTTCTATGCTTTGAGGCAATTACTTACTTCATTGCAATCATACTCACCTAAAAAATAATACAACGAAGTGCATATTTTTTTCTTTTTTAAACATTTTTTCCTGAATACCGAGTGTCCCAAACCCATCGTCCGCATTTCAACCTAAAGTTGAGATGGAATTCTGGGTCCAAAAATCCTGAGCAACTTTTAGATCGGACGCACCCTCTCCAACTTATTTGGTGTTGAAGGAGGAATGAGACGCGCGGCATAAGCTGACGCACAACGGTGCGTGAAATGGGAGTGTATTGGTAGTATCTCCAACTACTGCGGTGTCAGAAAGAGACTGCCGCGATCTTTGATGCAGTGTGACAGGCGGATTAGCGAAAAGGGGAAAAACGAAGCAGCATTGGTCCGCTCGCCACTTAAAAACTAATGGCTCCCCCCGGCCCCCTAATTAAGAATAAAGGATAAAATCAAAGGCGTCCAGTGGTTAATTTTGATTAGTTCCCAGAAGAAGAAAGGGAAAGGTCTGGGAAATCCCGGAGTAATATATTTTAAAGCTTTTTGGTGGCCTTGAAAAGGACCGATTTTCTCATTTATGGTGAACAAGATTTGTTACTGCTTCCAACTACAGCAGATGCTCAAATCTCTGACCGTTCTCCTGCAGACAGAGCCCTCGCCTTGTACAATACCGCAGCCCAAACACTCGACAGTATTTCCGATATTATGAGACCTGTGAATTCCTGAATCCATGCCACCAGCATCTCTTGATCGACCGACTCCTGCGAGTCAACATTTCCTTCCAGAAATCCCCAGAGGAAAAACTCTAGTGGGGTCAAGTCTGGGGATCTGGATAAAAAAAAATGAAACGGAAGCAAAATAAATGATAACGAATTGGTATAAAGAAGGAGAATCCGAAATAGGGACAATTAACGGGGAGGTCAGTATACGGGACCACCTCTCCTAGTCCAATGATTTGAAAAGCAATCATTTAGTCACTCCCTCTTCTCGGGCCACTACCCAAAGGGTTGTGAACTGGAGCACCGTCATCCCGATAGTAAACGAGTCGGCCACCAGGACCATCGCCGGCCAGCTCTGGAACATTAGTCTCAAGGAACTCAAGGTAATTCGCTTCCTAATGATGATAAAAAACCAAGGAATTATGTAGAAAAAGACCAGAAAATCAGAGGAATCTACATTGAGGATGTCCGGAAGCAGCCGTAGATGGATATCGTCGCCGCGAATATCTCCCCAAACGTTCAGGCTGTCTTACCGGTGCTGAAATCCTCGTGCTCGCGAAACGTTCGGATTTTCAACTGCACAATGATGTTCATTGTGATAATTGACAATGCCTCTTTATTGAATCATCGTTGCCACTACACAATTCGTAGTAAAAAATTCTCTGATCTGTCGAGGATCACGCGGCCTACTGAAGGATATTGACATGTGGGCAAAAAAGAAGACACTATAGATAGCGTTTGTCTCTCCTGTTCTCTTAGAGACGGCAAATTCATCGTAAAATTATTCATTTTTCGCGACCGCCATCATTTTCGCCGTGGTTTTATTACAAAAAATATAAGACTAAGAGATGAATTTCGTATCAATTCTTAGTATGAACTAGAAGAGGAGATATTGATTTTTAAGTGGTGGGCAGACCATTGTTGATTTGTTTTTCCCCTCTGTCTCCAAGCTGCTGCTCACACCACAGCAAGGATGACGGAAGTCTTCTCTTTCTGCCGCCGCAGGAGAGCAGTAGCGCATGATAGGGATACCACCAACACTCTCCCATTTCAAATTGTAAATAAGTAGAAGAAGGTGAGTCTGCTCCAAAAGTTGCTCAGGACCTTTTTGATCTAGAATTCCACCCCCAACATTGGGTTGAAGTGCGAACATGGGCGTGTATTGATACATACTTGATACCGGATGACAATAATGTATATAAGAATAATGTACAATAAGATCAGAAAATACAACAAAAATATCTACATGAGATTGTCTACTCTATTTACCTAGGCCCTCATTAATGATTCTATCGTCAATAGACAGTGTCATTCAATAATGCCAGTATGAACGTTTTAAAGGTTGAAGAGTGGAACTCTAGCTTCGGAGAGTATTTTTTCTTTTAAAACAGATTTTTTTTACTATTCTTACTTTCGATATGATTACTATTTTTTTTGTCAATTATCATTATTATTCTGATTACTCATTTACTTAATTAGTATCTCATCATACCAGCAAGCAATAGCAACAAATTTTATTTTTTAATGGTTTCTTCACATCCACTGAGAATTTACAAGTGTAGTTTACGACAACATCGTATTCCAGTATTCCAGTGTATTCCAGTCTTACCACTTAAGTTATGGAAATTTTAATTTGCAAGTTAGTGCCCGACGGCTGGTTTCCACCTATCTCTCTCTTAAAAATTTAAGTTCTGAGTAGTAATTCCCATGCTTCGATAAAGACTGTAGGCTATTTCGAAGGATTATGATCAATGTTGTTCATCGGTAGCAGAAAAGTATTAAAAATGGCAAGGCCAAACGTTGCGTGGTACAAGGAATCAATTTTTTTTTCTCTCAATCCAGTGATTCTTACATATTAATAATATTTTACGTTTCAAGGGGGTTAGTTTTGTTTTTTACGCGTGTGAGGTTAATAAACCAATCTGACGGCGAGGTTTGTTATTGCACGCGTGAAAAATAAAATTAACGCCAGAGTGGCGTAGGTTATTTTACATTTCAGAGTGCATTTCGAAATACATGCGAAGACTGAAGCTCCTCGTGTGTAATTGGCCAGTTACGGCACGCTGAAGTGTAAATGTTGATTCAATAAAATATTTTCTTTAGGAGTATTCTTCACTTTAGGTACTTTCGACTTGGCAGCCATATGGATGAAGCAGATCGGTCCTCCCTCACCTTGTCTGCGCCATTGAATATTTCGTTTTAAACACGAGCTGGTACCTGGAATACAAGTGATATATCGTACAAAAGCCTTATCTATAACGTTTTATCTAGAGCCATCAGGTTTGGACGTTTGATTGGTTAGCCCAGATAGAAAAACCTCAACCCATCTTTTTCAGAGGGTTTCCAATCTTCCTCAGTCCGACGCCGGATGTGCGGTGAGACTAAAATCCGGTGCAGCACCTCTAACATTCACCATGATCAAATATGCACCAAATCAGTTTTTCAGTGGTGTGAGATCGATATTTTTCGCTGCCCGAAAACATATCTCAACTGATGAAAATCCCTAGAAAGCATAAAAAAATCGAATTAGGGTCTTCAAATCAGGCAGCTTTTCACTCAATCTGCTCCTCCTCAATTTAGTCAGAGCTTCCAACATCAGTAGATCATTAAATGATATTAAATCACAAGTTTTCTATAAAAAATATTTTTAAATTACGTTTGATGAAGGCCGGACGTGATGTTATACTGATATCCACAAATGAACGTAGATTATCGAATGTAGACTGAATGTGTACAGAAAGAAACAATTCAATTATGGACAAAAGATAAATAAATTTATTTCTTTATCTAACCAATGGTTACAATATTTACAATTCAAGTGTCAATATGAATAAAGACTCAGATTAGTTATTTATTCAAATTTATACACAGCATATCACCTTCTAAATGGTACTATCAATTCCCGCTACATAATGCAAATCTGAGATCATGCCTGTCGAGATTGAGCGGTAATGGAAGTCGTATACTCGGTGCTTTCTAACGATACCGATATCCTGCCTGAGCCGACGGCGAGAAACCTATCAGCCCCCGCATGACGAAACATATAATCCAAAAATTATTACAAAAATTATATCGGCACGGATTTATTTAAACTACATGCATATAGATAATGTATCTTTTGCCGGAATGTATGCGACATATATTCGGATATTAATGGCCTATATTTCTGGATATATATGTTTTCCATGTGGACGAAAAAAAAAAATTCCATCACATCAGCCTAGACGAGCCTGGGCCAAAGAAATAATTTGATCACAACAGCCTAGACCAAATTTATGCTTAGTAATTTTCCAATATTAGGATTTGAAAAGTTTGCAATACCGAATTCCACATGGGAAATCCCATACATTAAAACCATTGGATAATTACTTAGTAGATTTGCACCAAAAATTACACCTCGGACCCAGGCTGAATTGCGCATGAGACTCGTGTTTACGATTAGTAACTAGCCAAATTATACACCATCAATGGGTAGCCCGATACCTGGTGTTGTTCCAAGATACGTCAAATTGGGTTCAGTGAACTATAAAATGTCAGCAAATTAGTGATGGTAGGAAACTTCAGTATTTTTTTACATTATAATTATATAAAGTAGGGCTTGATTTACAAAATCTTACCACCTAAAAATTCAAACCAATTTTCCCCAATTCAACTTAAAAAATTCTTCCTGTAGGCTAACTACCCTCTTAATAACATCACCCATCATACGTCCTGAGGGTAAATTTAAAATTAATCGACGCCGCCACTGGGTCTTTTCGATATCACGTATAAAACCAACTCAACTGAAAATATTATCGGACTCGCCATATAATTTTGTTGAAATGCTATAAGATTTTTATAAAAATTATATAAGTTTGTGATTAAATTCCTTTAGAAGTTTTTTTTAATAGCAATTCTTGAAGGAAATTTCCCACAAATGATATGTATAAATCAATTCTTTTTAATTAATTTTTCCTATGAGTTTCTTTATTCTTTCAATGTTCATAATGGAACAAATCCCAAATAACAGTCAGCCAAACACTAATGGAATTTTCATAGGCATTCAATAAGGTTTCATTAAGTGAAAAACTAGGATTGTTTATGAGATTTTTTCATCTGTGATCATTTTTCAATTATCTTTGCTCAGTCATTTTCCGCAGCTAACTATCTTGAATTTTTTGCCCTTATTACTTATTTCCGTCGTTAACTGGAAATGGGTGGATGTTCAAAGATTTCACAGTGGAAACGATATAATGAAACAAGTCGACAAGCCATGAAATTATGGAATTAAAATGTCTGGTTTCTGTGCTTTTTCAAGGTCGAAAATCTTGTCAATTGAAGTAAGACTGTCACTTGCTGAACATTTAATTCCTGAAATTCGGAAAACTCAATTAAATGGTTCAAATATCCCTTAGGAGATGTCCAAACACTCTTAACACAAATTAGAAAATCTTTTCGCCAGTATTGTTCGATTCATTTGCTACCGAAAAATTCCATTTGGACTTAATATAGAAAAGAATGAATAACTGATATCGTTTTACAATGCAAAATACACCAAGAAAAATATTCATGTTTTTCTTTCAAAAATTCAAATTTTTCCGCGTTCAGACATGACGATACCTCTTTCTGAGACGAGCATTGGGTCTCGCCACGCCGACTACGTGTACAATACAATAGGACCCGTTTTTTCTGGCTATCTGCCCCTGGTAGTCGCAAGGCTTTTCCCGTACGGACATTCACTCATCTTTGTGTTGTCCATTGTCTCTAAGTGTATCAACCAGTGTAATCATTCCAAGTTGTTGGCACTGGGTGATCTAAAGCGCAGTAAAGTTAGGGTATGCAACTGTTTCCCTTAAATGTCTACACTTGGGAACGTGCGCGGAGATATATAAAGGATTTATATACACGATCCTGTGAGATTCGTGGAAAATTTAGACCTGGATTGGGGCTCGTGTGCTGGTGTAAATCTACCAACTAATTACCGAAAATTTTTTCAGCGTGGAACTTACATCCATAATGAAGGATTTTAAATATGCTACCAAGCCATTTAAATTTCTATCCCGTGGATCCAACCGAAAAAAAAATTTAATAGTCGTCACCTTCTCATATGAAAGATAATTTTAAATATAAATATAAATGTGAATTCTTGTCTACAACTCATTTCCCCATTACCTTTTCAAAATTATTACTGTCATACTCGTAAAAATAACATGTTCATGTAATCAACTGTTAAAATTTTAGACATTATTCCCCTAAAGATCAAGTTTCCTGAGAATTTATTTAGGATTTCAAGAACACGTGATATGCACAGAAACCGATTGAGAAGATATGCAGTGAAAATTCGGTAATTGCTCAGGTTTGGTGGTCTGATTTTTTGCAATGTCAGTTAACGAGCGCACTCTCTGCAACTCTGAGAGGGGGAGAACACTGAGAACCAGAAGAGATGCACGTAGGTGGCAAGCGGGGGTCTGTCAGCTGGTAAATGCTTCTACGCTCATTTCTCGCGCATAAGGGAGAAAACGGGAGCTATTAGACAGAGAATGCTCAAGGGAGGTAATGTTAGAATGGCGGAATGTTTTTCATCACACGGTGAAACGTTGTGCATTTAGACGGGTGCTCGGCGAGTTTTCACTGTAGCTGCTATCACTACGTTCTTTTAGTAACTTCCATCTAACTCTATTAACTTGTTCAAGAAATCGTTGAAGCGTGAATCGCCATTGATAAGAAAAATTATAACTGTCCTGGATGAGTTCAGGGTGTTGTTATTAGATTATCACCAGATCTGGTGATGAGTAAGGGTGTCTTAGGGATACTCGCGGGATTATCTTGCATGATGATTTTGACCCTCTGAGCCGGAGGACTTGAAGATATAAGATTAGTACGGTGTTGCTTAGAAACAGTTTCTAAGGACGGGTATTCTCTGATCCAACCTAGCGAATTGGTCCCGTTATTGCCATTGATAATACGATCATTAAGATCGATGCATTGGTCATTCTGATGATTTGAAGTACTCGCAACTTTCTCTTTGGTTTCTATCAATTGTGGTTCCGTTGTAGAAAATGATTTTCTTGGAGGTTTCAGATCTGAAGGGGATTCAGTAACAGATGCAACATATGTGGTAGGATTTTTAGCAGAGCCGATTTCCTCGCCAATTGTGACTAGAGGCACTCCTTCAGGTTTGCCTTCATACGACGATATTTTTGACTGCATTAAGTTGGTTCCATCTAGTAATGACTTTCGAAGGTCCTTCAATTCAGTTCCATTTTCTACATCACTTCTGCCATTTCTGCAATTATTTTTCCTTCTTTCCCTACAGAAGTTACCTTTATATGCTGCAACACCGATCAAAGCTGCTAGTACTCCCAGAAGAACTCCCAAAACTATATAAGAGCCCATTCCTTTCTTTGTTTCTGGAGTTGCAGAAGCTCCTGCCGCCTGAGTTTCTTCGAATATTACTGACGGTTTACTGGGGGATTCTTGAAGTTTCGAGTTATAGAGTACGGTATCATTGATTGATACATTGAATTTCTTCTCCCCTTCTATAGGTTTCAAAGAATCCAGAGGACTGGATTGCTTGTGCGACGATTTGTTGAAGTTAGGAAGTCCGATAAAATGTTCATCTTCAGGAGTAAGCTCCTCTGAGGATATTGTGGTGACTGGCATGGATGTCGTCGGTTCTGATGATTTCCAAGAAAACCATCCGAAGAAACCATCTAGAAGACCAGGAGCCGTCGATGTCGATGTTGGATTTGGAGTTACAGTTTCTCCAACGTCAGAAATTTCATCTTCCGGAATTTCAGGTGTGACGTTATCCCAGGTAATCGGAGGAATTAATAATCCAGTGGATCCCAGACCAGACCCGTCATCTTCCTGATCTGGCCCTGATCCTTCCGTCAAAACATCGAGACTTTTCGACTGTTCCGAATTATTTTCAGAAATGATTGATTCTGTAGATAAAGAAGTTGAAGATATGGTGGGCTGCTTGGTGGAGGATAGTTCATCATATTTTTCAGAGGATATGAAAGGTGTTGTTAGAGGGACACCATAAGAAGTGATTTCGCTGTGTTTCGGGAGTGCCTCAGAACTAGAATGTGAAAGATAATCAGTCTGCTCAGAAATATTCTCATTTGCAAGTTCGTTAAAGAGGTTACCGGCAGCGCGATCTCCGGATCCTTCTGTTGAAATGTCAGGCTGATCATTCTGCATCTCTGGATCTTGATCCTGCTTTTCAAATATACATATAACCTCTGCATCAGGTTCAGTTAGCATAGCTCCCTTTAGATTTGCGGGGTATGAACAAATTGCTTTGGTGGAGAGCATGACACCCTGTAAAATCAATGCATCTCGAGTTTTGAGCGTTTGACAATCACAAGTGAGGTTATTTCCCGAAAGATCCAAAAATTTCAAGTTCTTCAGGCTGATTGCATCCTCTGGAATCCTGACAAGCGAGTTACCGTGGAGATTCAGTACACGCAAGTGCATTGGTCCTTCGAATGTTCCATGTCCTAGATGAGTTAAGCGATTATGTGAGAGATCCAGACTCAGCAAACTCCGCATATTTGAGAATGTTCCTGGTTCAATTCGACGGAGCTTCCTATGAGAGAGATCTAGACGTTGTAGTGCTGTGTTATTTCCAAAGTTTGAAGAGGATAAATTCGCGCTTGCAGAGCTAACTTTCAGACTTTTGAGCTCACAAGCTTTGGTGAACTTGATATCATCCAGGTAACGACATTCGACAAGTGTTTCCTTATTTTTTAAATTGTGCAGGCCTGATGTTGGCACAGGTATCGTTGGAAGAATGAAAAGCCCAAGAACAGGAAAGATGAAAACAATTTCCAGCATCTTGGTGAGTGTCTTTTCAGTAGATCTGAAAATATAAAAGATTATCATGAGTAATGTATGCTAATGTAATGGAGTGAACCAACTGTGTTCAACATATTTTTACCAGCATTCACAGCAATTTAAATTAATTTTTTCATGATAATTGTTAGTGTTTTCAGTCATAAGATTAATCTTCGTTTTCCCACAAATTTGTACGAATCAAATATAAAAATCTTAATCATGGGTTTGTCAACCCAACGTTGTGGGTGGAATTGTGGATCGAAAAGTCGCCAGCGTTCCGTTCCGACTGAACGGACTCTCCTCAACTTATTCAAGGTTAAATTAAACGAATCAGGAGCCCGTCATCTGAAGATCCGTTATCACGTTTCCTCCTCCCTTATCCTGCGCCCAAATTCAACCCCGAATAAGAAGAACAGAATGCGTCTGATCGAAAAGCAACACAGAACTCTTCAATCCATAATTCCACCTCAAAATTTGAGGTGAAGTTTAGACATGAGGTTTTGGGATACCCTCTCCAAGTAGCTTCGCTACGTTTTATTATTCAAAATTAATTGCAATTTCACTAAATAACATAAAGAAATCACAAATCGTTAAGCTATGTAGCAAAAAACAGGGAAGCTTTTCGTTGCACCTCAATTTTTTTTTTAAGGAGAAAAATACAGCTGGTCGCTTTTCCAAAAATATTTCTTAAGGTTGTTGTCGCGTAGAATTTTTTTTCGACAGTTTTCGTTAACAATTTTATCGTGAATAGTTTGAAAAATTAGTAACAAAATGAGCCTTTTCCGTTTGCAATTGACCGTTTTGAACTTGAGATATAAATTTTTGAAATTCGAGTGATTTAACACGTGTTTAAATGGAGTTTTGCCGATTAGAATTTTTCAAAAATCAACGGCTCGACAGTTTCAGAAATAAAAAAAAAACGTGGAATATACATCGTGGGAGGAAATACAGAAAAAAAAATCAAATCGATTGACCGTTTGGTTTACGGTATATAATTATCAGAAATTCATAAATTTATATAATTGAAAATAGTTAATATGGAAAACATATAGTTATGCTTTAGCTATCCATGCACAATGCAATCAATCAAGTGAGACTATATACCGCTAAAAGATTGTGTTCTAAACTGGCCCCTTTTACAGCGGATAAACTTTTTACAGAGACTGTCGCGCGACAACCACCTTAAATTACGGGAGGGAGCGGTTCTCGATTAGCAACGCGAAATGAGAGATTTTATATTTTAACGTGTTTCGTCACAAGGTGCAATTGGGTATTACCCGGGGGCCTCCAACTAATGAGTTACATGCGAATGTTTATAATACACATTTTTTAGTGCTGGATATACATAGATGTAGATGAGTATTTTTCCTACAGTTTCAATCACTAAGTTTCTACATATTATTCAGTGTGATAAAAATACGACATCAGTAGTAGTGATTTGATAAATTAGAGGTACAGATGTATTTTGGTTACTCTCAAATATGTACTAGCTCTGCTTAGGAATTCGAGTTTTCGAGTTTTCTGTATTTGTTTCAACTCTCCAATGAGAGCGTGTTTAGGATATTTATAATACTTTGTAATGTTGGGATGCCGTATTGGAAATACACCGTGAATATGGTCGTAGTTGTTCACAGAGGATTTGGTTGTTCAATTCGTGAGTATGCTGCCTTACTCTTGGCGGGAGGGGATGCACGGACATTTTCAAAAATTTGGGATTTTTGAATGTCCTACTATTCTACATGCTTTCGTATCAAATTCGAATTTTTGCGGGCTCGGGATCGGACAGTTGCAATACTGCCATTCAGAAACAAAAAGAAGCATATATAGAGAGTAATAGTTATATATCAACTGTTATACAGTCTTTCGCACTGCTTATTTTATCGGAAACGTTGGTGCAGCCTGCATTAAGCAGAAATGCACCACAACAATGCAGGCATGGTGGAGAAAAAGTAAAAAAAAAATTAAGCATATGGAGTCCTTGTTTTTTTAATCTGGATGTCAGGATAATTATAATGAAGCACCAGTTGAAAATGTTCTGCTTGATGGATCGTGTGGAATAGATGGCTATAAGAGATATTTCCAAGCTGCTGGGATGTGGGGTTTTTAGCCATGTGGAGTTGGCGTTTGAGCTCAAGGTAAGAACTGGCCAACCTCACGAGTGAAATAAAACCCCTTCCGAAAAACCCGGCCAATATTTTTTTATTTTTTAGTGATTTCCAACTTTTCGAGTTTGGGACTTATGCAGTACGAATCCCCAGACGAAAAATCGTGAGGAGCAATACGGAAAAATAGCGAATTATCAATAAAAATTTTTGTTTATAGTTTTTTAAATATTTTTAATATTTTTTAAATTGCAGTTATCTTACCTCATAATTGCTAGAAGTCGCCAAATTAGAAATCTGCAAATTGCGGTGAGGATCAGTTCTCTTTTCAGCGGGCGAGTAGAGGAGGGGTTGAGGGGAAGTTTATTAAATGCAAATCATTCCGGAAGCAGCACATGGAGAACAATTGTAACACTTCTTTACCTGAAAAATTTTAAATATTTTTTTCCCATTTAGTATTATCCCATTCAGTATACTTTCCTTCCACTCCCCCTCTACTTGTTCGCTGAAGCAGAGGTGGGCAACCTCAGATAGGCTGTAGCCATAAAATGATTGAGGCTCCAATTATAAGGGACCTAACGTGATTATAAAGTTGTGGTATATTTGTTCGGTGTGGGTAACATCGGGAGATGGCGCATAAGCGTGATTGAAATGCGAGGGAAAAATTATTTTAATTCCCATGCACGTGTTTGAACATTTCCTTTTTGATTAGAAAAAAATGGAATTAAAAGATGATGGTTTAGATTCAACATTCATCGGTGGAAATGAAAGTGAGATGCTCGTGAACTTGAGAGAGCAAACTTTAATCATCAATTAAACATTAAAGGATGCCGATAATGTTTTTGATGGTGAGAAGTTTGTGCATTTTAAGCTGGCATCGAGAGCGGGAAAGATAGAAATTAAAAGTTAGAAAATGCATGCAAAGGTCTATTAACAACATGATAATATTTAATACTGGTCTTCAAAACAATATTTCCTCTTCAAAAAATCTATCAAAAGTCCGAATATTTTCTTTATAAAGTCGATTAAAAACGACCAATAATTAATCAAAAGCATAACAACAAAAAAATTAATAATTGAAAAAATATTTCCATTAGAGAAATAGAAAATTTTTCTATTTTACTTTTTCCACCAGCAAGTATGTGCAGAATATCCTCACTACTGCCACGCGCAGGAGACCATGGGCCCGAAGGGGGTGCAACTCGTGCATCCATAAACCTTATGGCTTAGGACAATTTTGCCTAATGGAGGTCGGGAGCTCGAGCAGCTCCACCAGCTGAGGTTGCCCACCTCTGCCCTAAAGGGACAGCTGCCACTCACTTTCATTCAATCAATTGTAAGGTACGGTAATTACAATTTGAAAAATCTTAAAAGTATTTACAAAATTCTCAAAGAAGAATTTTCTGCAATAATTACCCATGAATCATTCGCATGGAAAACAATATTCAATTAACCTCAATTTTGAGGCTTTCGCGGCAATAATTATTATTATAGTTGGCTTTCGGATGGATACCGCGTTTAGTTTCAGCGTTTTTGCCGACGTTTCGCAAACATTGTAGTCTGTATATAACGACTACCCTCAAATATTGCAGCTCAGAATCGGAGCTCTTAGCCCTGAAGATGCAGACTGCAATGTTTGCGAAACGCTGGTAAAACGCTGAAAATAAACGGGGCATCCATGCGAAAGCCAACTATAAGCCGCCTATAAGAATATTCAATAAAAATTACGTATATTTTCCGTGATTCCGGAGCAAAAAATCGTTAGAGAAAATTTTATGAAACGACTTTAAAATCTTTTCAAAACGTCCGGTAATTTTTGTCTGAACCTTCTAAGTTTTCTTCGTCACTTTCTTCGTAATCAGTAAGTAAACTACACGGAGAGAAATATTCCAGAAAAATTACGGAACATGCCACGTACATGTTACGAACTTTCAGTAACTTTTCGCTTTCTATCACCGAAAAAATACGAAAAAGTCACGTAATTTTTTTGGATGTTTTAAAATCGAACGGAACTTCAATTCTTATTATGCCTCAGCACATAAAAATTCCTTGATATTCAAGAAAATTACGAAACGTTCCATAAAAATACCTCCCTCACGGTGACTCATGGCTAGCGTATGTCGTCGGGCGCATGAGTAATTTTTACGGAACCGATCGTAGAATTTATGTGATTTATCGCTTGCAGATTACGTGAAATCTTCCGTAATTTTTCTTGAATATTTCTCTCCGTGTAAGGTTCTGTAATTTTTAATGACTATTTCTCTCCATACAGAAGATTCTTTACTCTTATAGCTCTTCCCTCCTTACCATGCTCTAACAAATCAGACTTTGAGCTCTTGTACTTAATTAAAATTATCGTCATTCCTCCACAAACTCTTAAAAAATCATCATTGAAATTGGATCAACTGATCAATTGAATCTTGAGGTGTATAAGATAGTCAATTCATTTTAATTTTATCCCAATTTTTTTAGACATTCCACGGTTGCGATGCTGTGAGTTTCCTATCAAGACATTCTTTAATTGTCATCCACATCAATTTAATAAGGATTGAATGAATTAAGCCGGCCGTGTCTACTGAATCAAAATAAAGTCCATGATACTATTGTCTGTTATGCAGTCAAATAAAGCTGTGATATACATTTTATATCGCATCCTGAAGAAATATCCATATGTAGTCAATCTATACATATATATTGTTTTCCCGTATAGATATTTGTATCCGGACATTACTCCACATCAATATTTTATTTAAAGCAGAGTTTTTAATGTATAGACCGTTTCAAGAAAAATGATTGTCCTATGGAAGAAAAATTACTATACAGTATTTATTGAAAGATTTCATAATCGATGTTTAAGGTTTGATCATTTCGGGAGGGCAGTTGAATGGAATTGCATTCTAGCCAGTGCATCCGAGTAGCCAAATGACAATAGATATGATCAGTTAAGGAACACTGGTGGCTTAACACAGTGAATACTGCACTGCTTCACATGCGACATGTTTCCAATTTAAATCCCGAACGGGTAAAATGATAAGATCTAATTCTTCGAAGTCCTTTTTTCTGTTATGACATCTAAATCGCGACGAAGAAACAAAAATTACTTATTGAAAACCAATTGAGAAACCAGAAACATACTACTCGGAATAGGTCAGCAAATTGACATGTATTGAATGGATAATATTTTAAACTTTCTGGAAAAACAGATTCTATATAGTATTAATAGGAAAGAATAATAAATTCTAAAGTAAGTCCGTAATTTATTAAGGACAATACTTTGGAGAATCAAAAATGACGTTTTTATCAACTACTTTCGAGAATAAATTCTTCTTTCGTATATCTAATTGAAAACTGATTTTCCGTTCATACATGATACTTAGGTGATATTGAAAATAGTTTTTATTGCATCAATTTCACTTAACCAAATCATCAGCTGATGTTCCATTAATGCATGAGGTCAATACACGGAAACACTTATGCCGGTGTTTGCATGGATAATAGAGCTTGGGGAATCGAATCACCGGCAACGAGATAACGAGATACTCTATGATTTCGCCGAACGAAAGTGACTGATAGGAAAAGCTTGAAAATTTTTTAATATTTCACTTGGAAGTTTTATTCATGTAGTATTGTGTCATTCCTTAAACTGATTACCTGCGATCGATCAATGAACAATTTGAGTTAATTTAATTAAAATTACATAAGGTCACCCAAACTGATAAAGTAATACGAATATATTCTCTGGTACGTTAAACCATCTTTCACGTTACGAGCGACGCACTATAGTGAACTTCGCCAGATATGGCATTCGTGAAGTGCCCAATCGGAGATAAAGTCTGGTTACTTATCGTGACGCCATGATAAAGAAAATGATAGCGCTCTTTATATCTCAACTACTCTGAGGCGACTCGCACTCTCCTTATCTTTTACAATTTTTTACTGCAAGATTATTTTATATTTATTTGGTATAACGTGCAACATAGAAAATATTGATTTCAATGTTTCAGATACATCATAGACCTTCTGGGTCATCTTAATGAATCTGTTGTTCAATCGAAAAAACTGATTATGGAGTATTTAAGAGCGCTTGTCGGATCCAGAAATGAAACCGTGCAACTTCAATTTTGTTAAAAATAAAGTGGTTCTGAAAAAGAATTAACGAGAATGATGGAGAATTAATTTATTCAAATGCCAGTAAAATTAAGTTCTTCAATAATTGACCTATTTGTATCAACTATTTGTATATCTCTTACTACAAGCTGCACTTCGTTCAATTTGAATGCTCGATTAGGGCCTGCCTTGGTCACAATGCTACGCCAGGGTTCATATCGTGGATTTTCATCAAAATAACGAAATTAATTAATGAGAATAAGGGGAAAATAAAAGGAATTGGAATAGAGGAACAATGAGCCATATGAACCGAAATTCCGTGTGTAGATAGTATTTGAAAATACAGCCAGTTCCGAATTATTTCTTCCCGATTTCCTTTGTATTTCTGGTCTCGCGATTATATGTTTTAATTTGCGACGTACGCCACTACTCCAAAGAATAAACGTAAATTTATTTTTAATTAAAAAATCACTAATTCGATGACCTCAATTTTGCCGGGGCATCAGTCAATGAAAATTGTTTTCTGAGAGGCACATACTTAAATGGATGACTTTGGGGCTTGAAAATAGTCGCTCCATGTCGAATGGGGCTTACACGGATTCCAAACAAATCCGGCTCGGATAGTAATAAACGAATGAGAATCAGAGACGGTGTGAACTCGAAGGTAAAGAGTCTTCGAGAATAACGAGCAAGATGTCGAACGATGTAGAAATGGATGTTTTATCTGCTGCATTTCTGAGTGAAAGAGCAAAGAGATTCAAGACATAGATATACTTGATGCTCAGAGTGAGGATTACCCAGGCGATTCGACTGGCGGTTATATCCTAACCGGAAATTCCGCTAGGGATCCAGGCGCTATAAATTGTGTGAACAATATTTTTCGAAGTAACATCCATGAATTTGTTGGAAATTACGAAGTGCTCGATGAAAAAGGAAATCGTATGAACGAGGATGAATTTTATGATTGCTATGAAGATGAAATCAACAACACTACCACACACACGTCGTATCGGTTTACTCAAGATATTGAGAGTTCGTTTACTTCCAAGTCTATCAAGGTGTTCAAAAAAAAACTTTGATAACTGATGGGCAGACTTCGTGTATTTGGGCTTGGAATAATCGTGTCAAAATGTGGAAGTCGTGAATTATATTCAGATCGTACCATTTATTAAAAAATTAATGTTGATGGAGTTCAATTGTTCAAATGGAATCCAAATCAGCTCTGGCCCATTCTGTACTTAGTTCATAATAAAGACTTATATCAACCATTTCCAGCCATTTTTTGTAGTCAAGAACAACCCCACGATTTGTTTCAATACCTAGAGAGATTTACAGAAGAAATCTATTTTCTCCAAAAGAGAGTATTGATGTAAATTACGTAATGTATATGTAATTATTGTGACAGACTGGCTCGTGCTTTTCTCAAATGTATAATAAATCATGGAGGATAGAATGTTTGTGAACAACATCGAACCGTGTATCCAATCCGAGAGGAGGATGTGACACCGAACAGATACATCATTCCTTGCTGAAGCAGATCCTAAACATAATCAAGGCATCATTCCTTTATTGAATTTTTGTCTTAAAATTGATATGATATTTATGCGTCAATTGCGTTATTGTTGAATATTTACAGCATTGTCACCATGATACTTGTTAGTGTAACTAGATTCTGCAGATAAAGTCATAACACATAAACTATTATGTATTTACGTCGTTTGGGTAAGCAGAAGGCAGATCCAAATCGGGCTCCGCCGTGTATTAGTCGTAATCATTGTAATCAATCAGATGACCTAATTGAAGTAACAAGCTCTTATATTTAAATACCGATAAACAATTGGTGAAATGTATGTTTTCGAGCCTAGACCCTACAATAAATATAAGTACACCCCACACAGGGTGCAACATCAAGCTTTGTGTTAGATACCATGTACTTAATTTATCGTGGTGTAGAAACGAGATTTTTTAAGTACTGGTACTGGTAAAAGGATATTCAAGAGTCTAACTGACTCAGGCAGGAAAATCACTACTAACCAGTTTGTCATTGAAAATTCAATTCCATCGTACAACTCGTTCTTCCATTGATATTGATAATTTTAAAGCATCTCAACAAATTTCTCTTTCTATACAATGATCCAATAATTTACAAGAGAGTACTTGCCAGATGCTACTCTCAAAATTTTTTATTTTTCGACGCGGCATATAAAATACTGTGGTTTAAAAAATGGGCTATTGAAAAACAGAAAAATCCATGAAGGTTTTTCATATCTTTTCTATCATTAGCTGATAATTTATATTTAAAAATTCGTACTGTTGGGAACATGTACAGTCTAGTGCAGACCTGTGCAAAGGGCACTCTCGGTGCTGAACTAGATACTAACCCCGATTATGCCAATGACTGCAAAAAAAGCAATCCTATTTTATTGTGCAGGAAGTATAAATTAAAATTTTTGAAAATAAATTATCAATATTTTTCTTGCTGTATTTTGCATTGTTAAAAAATTTCAATTGTGCTTTTTTTTCTATATTAACTTCCGCGCAAAATTCCATTAAATAAATTACTCTAAATTGAATATTTCGGATTTGAATGAATTGGAAAAGACTGGTGCAAGGATTTTGTAATTTTTGTTAATATCGTTTGACTATTCCCTGAGCAGTATGTACAAAATTTAATTGCGCTCTGCGTATTTCAGGAATTAAATGCTCAACAAGTGACAGTCTTACTCAAATTCAAATAATTTTTGACCTTACAAAAGTATGGAAATAAGAAATTTGAATTCCATCAGTTCATGTCTTGTTCATTTTTTTTCATTACATCGATCCCATTGTGAAATATTTAATTTATAAAAGTTTATCCATTTACAGTTAACCACAAAAATGAATAATGACTACAGAAAAAATCAAAATAATGAACGACACAGAGTGCCAGAGCAAAATTAATTGAAAAAAGATCACTAGGTAGGCCCACGAAAAAAATCTAATTTCAGTCTTCCGATTAGGGCCCTAGCAAACTATCATACACGCTATAGCGTGTATGTAGCGTGTATGTAGCGTGTATGTTGGTTGCATGTGGCGTGGATGGAATTTTTGGATGAAAAACAGGTGGAAATCGATGAAGACAGATGAAAGAATGATGTGGGATGAATAAGGTGGATTATTCGGTGCATTTGGCGATGGTTATTTGATTATTTGGGGAGAAATTATAAAAAATATATAATGGGCAGAAGTGAGCATGAA